GACGCAGGCAAGCAAGCTGCTTATAGCAAGCCGTATGACATTCTCTGGCGAAAATCCCTAGCAAATTGAAAGAATTTTCGTACGTTCCAAAACTGAAAAGCAAAAAAAAAGATCCTCACTTTTTTGGCCAAAATCCCCAGCAAATTGAAAGAATTCTTTGAATTTTTTTAAGGGGTAACACTTCGTCAAGGGGGGTAATCGGACCTTTCGGACCCCTGCTGAGGACGTATGGTTGATATGCGCTGATTTTTATCTTAAATTTTCTGTTCACTTTACAATCATATTAAAGTCTTTTGTGAACATTGATTGAATGGTAATTTTGAATTTGATCCACGATAAATAATATGATTCTCGCAGCAGTAGTTCAGCTAAAGCGAAATATGAATCATACCCCAAAATCTTCCTAATAATTCTCTGCTAGCATGGCATGGTTGACTTAAACGCGATTGAGTTCATATAGTCGCTGAAATCCATAAATAAAATGACTTTTACGCTCTTCACAACGATATGTTAATTAATGATGTCAATTACGTAAAGTAAAGCAAAAAATAGACTCCAAATCCCTCACACAAATTCGAAGATAAAAGATCAGTTTTGATGAAATGCATTGCTTCACATAAAAATAGTTTTAATTAAGACACTTGAATAATTGCACATAGTGTTCATTGTATGAGATGAAAAAATCAAATGAACGAATCCAATCGCACTCGTTCTGATGAAGCATCGTCACAATTACTGTATTGCGGTGCTCCGTTTGATTAGAATATTATTGAGAAATTGTGATGTGGGTGGTGTTGAGCATTGTGAAAAACGGCGACATTTTTTTTTGCATTTGAACTCTTTTATGAAATGACCTATGTTTATGAATCACACAATTTGGTGCACGGGAATAAAATAAGTCTTGCACAAGTGCTCTGCCAATTTATATTAGAATATTGGGTCACAGACGTACTTAACAAAGATAAACCGCTTTTAAGTGAAAAATTTTATTAAAGCGGTTGCATGTTATGCAAGTTACAACAATCGAATTAAGTAATAATAGAAGACCGTCTTAATGAGGTGCGATTAAATGCTCTCAATGAATGAACCGAGAGTACAAAGAGATAATTGGCGGTTTGATATAGTCGTTCCAGTAATTTACACTTTTACATGATGTGAGTCTTCTGCTGGCAAGCAAAATCGTGAATTGAGATAGAAAAATGAAATCAGCTGTAAATATTTATAGGAAAACCCTCATAAACATTAAACGAATCAATTGCCGCGATTTCATTTGCCTTTAAGACATCCATTGAATTTCAAATCGAATTTTACGAATACCTTCTGATTCAAACGATGTGAATACTTTGTCGCCTCGATTCTTTTGCTCGACTAATTGTTGTCAATTGATTTTAATCAAATCGTTGTTTCAACGGGCGCGTGTACAGTACAGTGAGTATTTCATAGTAGAACTTTTCCGAAATTTATGAATGAAATCACGAAAACCATTATTGTCTTGGTCAGGCTCTTTCGTCATATTCATAAAAGAGCCAAACATCGTTCGATCAATGAACAAGTGACGAATTATGTTATTCATCACTATTGTGACGTATGTCAAATCGTATGCCAAACGTATGTGAATTCTTTGCATTGCAATCATATTTCAGAGAAGATTCTTAGTCAAGCGTCCAGGTCAACCATTCACTTAACCCCGTTCATTGAGGTAGCCACTGCATCTATCTCTATATAAGTAATTGACTCTAACTTAATCAAAATTATTCGACAAAACACTCGACAAGCGAACACATTACTGCACATAATATGTGAACGTTTTCCAATTTTATCAACGAATGGCATCTTCAATTGTCACAGTTTTTCTCATTTTTCGGTAAGTATCGAATTTTTAAAGGAATTTTTTTGTATTCTCTGAAATTTTTCGAAAATTAATCAATTTTTCTCATTCCATTTCAGACTTACTATTCTTGTCACTGTTCGTGCTGAGATTCATGCATCGGACTTTGAGCAATATGAAATCGATCCAAGTAGTGGTATTTTTTTCGAGGAATTGGGCAGCCTACAACTTTACTCCACCGAATGGACGTTCGTGACATATGTAAATCTCTCCCACTTTGCTGCGGAAACTGAATATTTGGATCATATGGTGTTGAAAATTCAAAATTTCTGTGAAAAAATCCATGCAGAATTTGCGTTAGCAATTCCAAATTCGTATTGTGATCATACGATGCCGCAGTTGTTGAATTTATTAGACGACGTTCGTGAATATAGTGCAAAATGGTTTTTGAATCACGAACTGCCATCGGAACTACGTTTCAAGAATGACTTTCGTGGTTTGCGCCGAAAGAAGCGTGGTCTCTTAGGTGGAATAACAAAACAATTGTTCGGAACATTAAGCGAAGATGAAGGTGTATTTTACATGGAGCAAATAAATGCGTTAAAATCCGAGAATTTTCAGCATCTCCTAATGGCGGAGAAGCAAACGACGTTATTTCAAGAATCCTTAAAAGTGTTAAATAATACGATGCAATCGCAGCACATTCAAAATGTGGCCCTTCAGAAGCAATTCGATGATCTCAGTTATGTATTAAAAAATGCAACGATTGAATCAACATTGGCCCAAGTGTCCGGTGTTTTAGTTGGTAAATTAAGTGAATTAATGCAATATGCATCGTATCTAATTATCGGTTTTCGGGAAAAACAGCGATATTTCTTCGAAGCAATAACGACAAAATCGAAAAGTTTTCAATTAATACCCCCGCGAAAGTTTATGAATGAGTTGGAGCGTGTTAGTTTATTGGTGGCACGACAAGGATTACTATTGCCAATGGTGATAAAAGGCGAAAATTTGGCGAAATTCTATCAAATCACAAGTACCGAGGGACGAATCGTTGACAATAATTTAGTGGTGCGGTTTTCAATTCCATTGGTTGACAGTAAAAAATTTACACTTTATAAAGCGACTAGTGCACCGCATCGAAACGATACCAGCAAACAATTCGATTACATTGTGCCACGGAATGAATACATCGGTGTTGATAGTTTTAAAGAGAAATTTGTGACGATGACATTGGATGAATTGAAGAATTGTCATCGCACCATGCGTCATCACCTAGTGTGCAAACAAACATTTCCACTTTTAACGGCCAACAACCATTTGGGATGTGAAATCAATTTGTTACGCAATACAAATGTGAATTCAAGTTGTGATTTCCGCACGACAAACTTAACCGACGAGTTATGGGTGCAGCTACAACAACCGAACACCTATTTGTACACATTGCCAAAGGAGTTAACGGTGACTGTTATTTGTCCAACATCGCGAAATTCGATTTTTCTTGAAGGAACTGGTGTCATTTCCGTTGAAAATCGTTGCCGTATCAAAACCGACCGCGTTGAAATCGTCGCTTTTCAAAGCATCGAATCGAACATTTTTCGAAATTTTACAATCATCAACAAATTCGACGTGAATATTACGTCGAAAATTGAAAAAGCGAAACAAATCAAAAGCCCGCGCATTCCGATTTTGAGATTACTGAGATTAAGCACCGACGATACCGCAAAAATATCAGATATTAACGACGAATTAAACGGCTTACAAATGCAAAATGCAATCGACAAAGCATCAGCGATGAGCGTACTGAATTCGGTTATTAATAACGGCGGCAGCATTGGCCAAATTGTATTGGCCCTTGCTATTATTGCCATTGCAATTGTAGTGGTCTTTACATTCATCAAGTATAGCCTCATCAAAAGTGGAAACATTTTCATTTTCATTCTTCTAGTCACCATTGCCACCGCAACCGTTTTATACTTCATTTGAAACATTTTTTGCGTTAAATAATCGTTCAATTTAAACGCTTTCGGAACTGAACATTCAAACCAATGACACCGCCCAAATCGACACCAAAGATACGAACCAAAATCGAGACATTTAGTTATTTATTTTGACATTTTATTTATTTTGTTCGATATTTTTAGAAAGATATTATTGTTAGACTTTGAATTCATACACAAATATTTTGTGAAAAGAAACTGATTTTTTAATTGTTTATTTTTTTTTTGTTTTCTCAAGAATTTTTTTTATGTAGATTTTAAGTCTTTTTATAAATTTTGTTTTCATAGAGAGTTTGACTGTAAATATTTGGATTTAGTTTTTACATATATCGATTAAATTAATTAAAAATAAACTCGAATATATATTTTTAAATTTAGTGGTGTTTTATTCTACTTATTTTATATCCAATTTTAGCAGAGCTGTTATAGGCACCTCGAAGGTGAGGACACTATTGAGTTTAACAGCAGCACTTTATTTTAGCGGGAGTTTTAGCTTAAATAATGTAAGTATTTTCAAAAAGTCCCTTAGATCTACAGGTACTCAAAAATCACAAAGACCAAATATATTTGTTCAAACGGCGAACTTGAAATCCGGATCTTTGAAATTTGCATATTCTTCACTGACAGGAAATTCTCTAATATGGGCTCAGTGCATGTATCAGTAGGTACTCTTCTCACTCTCTTCATTTTGGCGATTCTCAAAAAATTGTTAGTTAATTTCTCGTTTAAAAATCTCCATTATCAACAATGTATGATTAAATGCGTGAAAATCATAATTGAATGAATAGAACAGCGCATCATGAATCATACCAAGTGCATTTCTAAAAACTTGAAGAAAAAAAACTGTTTCAGCAACAAAGTCCCATGTTAAGTGTTTAATTAAATGCATTGTTTCACTGCAAAGCGCTCTTACTGTATTACGGTGCCCTATGGTGCAAACTCACACTTAATTCGAATAAGTCATATTGTTTGTGTACAACAATTTGTGGGTGCAATTAAGATTCTTCACTGTAAAACAATAGAGTATCATTTTTGCTAAATGATTCATAAATGAGCTTGTAGAAAATGTGTCACAGTTAGTAAAAACAAATTGATGTAACGGAAGTGACTCAAAATCTAAAAGACCTTATGATTTTTGATGTTTGTCAATTATTAGTTTTATTTGTCAATTTTTTTATGTTTTGAATAACATTCCAATGTTCTTTTAAATTCGAACGCACTTTGTGCCTGTTAAAATTGAACTCTATTATCATTCACTTAAATTCGATTAAGTTATCACATACGATTATTGTTATAAATTATGATCTATTAATAGCTAATTAGCATACCATTTATTTCAATCAGAACTAGACAAATCTGGCCAATACCATTTAGACGAAATCAGCAATAACTCGAACTTGTCCCACAAACCTTATTGTTGAATTGCTGTGATCATTGCTGGTAATGACCCAAATGTCAATCGGGATCAAATCGATCTGTAATAAATATAAGCCATATCAAATCTGGAATCCACATTTTGAACTGTTATCAATGCAGTTGATTACAGTATAAATGTGGGTAAAGTCTACTCGGTTATGCATCGTAATGCACTGATTCAACTGCGCTCGAATTCCATTGGTAATCAATTTTATGAGCTTTAAATGATCGTTAGAGTTTAGTTGATTTACTTTTAATCAATTTATCAGAATCATATTCGGTTGTAAAAAATCAGTTGTATCGCATATTTTTCTCGAGTTTGTGTCTAAACTCAAGCAGCGAGCGACATTAGCAGTGAAAATCATGAACTTCTCATCGATAAAAAAAATTATATCGTCTCCATTACTGTTCAATATCTCGTCAATTTCGATAATTCGCTAAACGTCTGGTAACCTTTTCCTCTCAAATGAGAAAAAAAAACTTTTGTTGAAACATACATAAAATGGCGAAAATAAGAAGGAAAATCTTTCAATTTGCTATGAATTTTTCAGCTGTTTTTTAAGTCATTTTTTTTTGAGTGAATAAAAAACCATTTTATGCAAGAGGTTTTGTGAAGAACATTTCACTTTTGTCACATTTGTTTATTCATCGTACTACTTTCTCCAAATGAAAACATAATACGATTTAAATAGAACACTAAAAAATTGAAAAACAAATATTCGGTTCGATATCAACCTTGAATTTCAAATCAACTAAAAGACATCCCATTGACAATATGCGCCAACAAAATATTGTGTACACTGTACAGATATGTTAAGAAAAACGTTTTGCCGTAATTTGTTTAACAAATTGAAAATTTTATTTGGCACTTTGATGCCTACGTTTTTCTATAAATATGCTTAATGGCTTAGCTGACAACCAACTAATTTCATTAGTCAAAAGGTCAATAATAAACGAATCGTTCCAAAGCGTTAAGTAAAGTAAATTGCGCAAGTGAAACAAGAGAAACAACAACATTTACACCATGAAATAACACACCTGACATATGGCTCCGGTCACCATGTTGAGTCACAAACTAGGCAAAACAAGAAGCTGATCGGTAATATGTGTGTGTGAGTGCGAAAGCGAGATTTTGCGACTAATATAAATTTGAAATTCAATTAATTCAATGTTTCTTAATTTAATGGTTTCCTCATGCGATTCAAAGCTTAATTCTAGTCTTAGAGATGTGATAGGCGTGCGCTGTGCCATACAGAACATTTTTTTCTACAACATTATTGTCTCCATTGCATTGTATTCTCAACGAAATATCAATCAATCGCATCGATTGATGTTATTTTCATGTTCGCTTTGTGTTGTCAAATGTGCAAGCACATTCGTTGAAAACGTCATTTGTGCATCGATATGAAGACAGGCGATGCTCAACGAGGAAACTTAAACATCTCGGGGTTTTTTATCTGTTATGTTTTTTTTTTCAATTGAATGATAATAAATTTCAACTTACGACATGACCACAGCAAATATTTTACCGGTAGTCGATAAATGTGGCGACTGATATGTGCACGATTGGTGAGTCTATGCCACAGTACAAATGCATTCACACACATAAATACACCAAAACGCGCTAAAAAATACATCGCATACAAAATTGAAATATGCAATAAATTTTTTAAGTATCGTATATTTTCCATCGTCGTCATCATCATCATTATTTAATTATAAATATTGCAGTGGATGTTGTATCAATAGCGGTGGCCACTTGCCAATGCGACAGAGAGAAAAAAATGGAGAGATGTTAACGAGATAAAAAAAACATCGAATGAATCACATGCATGAAATAATATTCTATTTCACAGAAAGATTTTATATAATCTAGTTTGACAAATTCGCCTTTCCTTGAAAAAAAAAAAAAAAAAAAAAAACTCCATTCGTAATATTTTGCATTCAATTGCCCCGAAGAAATAAAAAAGATATTATTTGTTTTTCTCTGTATGATTTCAAAATGATTTGAAATTTGTTCGTTTCATTATTTCTCTTTATCAATCAACATTTAAACGAAGCGTCGCACGCACACATTTTTGATACGTGATGTATTTAAATGATAAGTTCATCAAGCACAGAAGATGCTCAATGTAAAATTTAAATGCCATTAGCGAAATGCAAGAAAATGAAAACGAAAACTCTTGCTACAAAGCTAATTTTCACATTTCGTGATATCATTCAGCAAATTCAAATGGAACTCGATTCGAATTGTTCTGATACATACGCCATGCACACGACGGAAAATGATTGAGAGAAAACAATGTTCTATGGGGCTTAAACTATGCGCGAATGCTAACTACATAGACTCTTATTCGGACCAGTTTTTATTGTGTGTTTATGCCGCTGGTGCATAAGACCAACATAAATGCTGCATGTGATATCTGTGTTTAGTAAGTGTCTACAATCTTAAATGTTCTATCTCTCTTTATCACTCTTTGCGTTCCTGTTTTCGAATGAAAACAAAAGCGCACCTCATGAAATTATTAACGAGAACGAATGAAATGCAACGTATAATCCAGACGCTGAATGCAATAAAACGGTTTTGGATAAATATTAAATGCGAATTTACATAGCGATGGAGAGGTAGAGAGAGAGAGAAAAAAAAACGCAATGTAAGCATCGCACTGCATCCTGGCAACTTTATAGTTGTTTGAATGATTATTGTTGCGTTGATTGAACCACAATAAATATCGACATTCAATGGAAAGGTTTTCCATCAATTGTCGTGTATCAGCTCATGCATACGCAGCGCAAATGACACAAACCAGCTGAAAATGGATTGCGATGCAAACTACATTAAACGGCAACAACAACAACAACTGCTCAGCATATAAAACATAAAACAAGACGTGCGACAATTTGCGGAGGCTTTCACAAGCCCAAAGAACGAATGCGAAGAACTCAAAAACCAAATTACATTTATGGCATGCGAAAGGAAGAAAAACGCAAATAAATAAATACATTGCGCAAAAAATATACGGCGAACAGAGAGACGGAGAAACGAAAATAAAAATAAAAACATATAAAACTACAAACACACTCACACATATACACACATATTCAATATCGAAGCGATATAATAATAAAATAACAAAAGACCCTGAGCGAAGTGCTAGATCAAGAAGTAAAAGTCTCTGCATTGACATTTCGTCACAATCAATTCAAATTCCATATGAACTCGCCAGTTTTCGAGATATCTCAATTCGATGCGTTGATTTATGTCTCGCTAAAATTGCGTTTGATCGTTTCGTTCTATCGCGCTAATATAATACGATGAATTTCGATTGTGTGTATGGGTGTTGTGCCAATCAAATGATCGTGAAGGAAAATGAAGAAAAAAAAACCACAGACCGACAGTCAATAATCAACACTTGCATGCATTTTTATTTTTCATTCTCTTGCATTTGTCTCTCGCTCAGTCGAGCCGAACAAACGATGGATTGTTGTGCACATAGAGCATCTCTGATGACTATTATGTTTATGATTTTGCAATTGTGCAACAAAGTATGAACACCGAGCTGCTGTTGTGGCTGCTGTTTGCTCTTGTTGTCTTTAATACAACCAGTTTTAGTGTTTAATACTTGAGCAATTACACGCTTAACCAAAATGCCAAACTTATTCATTTTCGCGCT